CACAGCGCCCCTAGAGGACAGAGTGGAACTGCACCACAGGGTCTCCAAGGCTGTCAATCTTCACAGAAGCAAAGCCCAAACCACACCCACCACAGTGGAGTCCATTCTGACTCACAGCGCCCCTAGAGGACAGAGTGGAACTGCCCCACAGGGTTTCCTAGGCTGCCATCAAGGGAACAGATTGCCAGGTCTCTGCACCATGGAGGGGCTCGGTGAGTTCAAACCGCCAACCTTTTGGTTGGTTAGCAGCTGAACACTTAACCACTGTGCCACCAGGGCTCCTTTGGGAAGTGGTTGTCATTTTTAACTGGGTCTCAGGACAAGGCCTGTGCAAAGGTTGAGGAGAGACGGAAGCAAAGAAAAAAGGTTGAGAAAAGACCTGGAAGTGAGACCACACTTGGGAGGTTCATCTCACTAACTGGTTCTGAGGTTCATTCCAAATGTCCCTCTAGGGGGCGATGGTGGGGGGCTGACATACCCTCGTAGAGCTGAGAGTACTGTGGGAACCCGGCAGCACGGAGCCAGTCGCACGCTTCCTTTGCCTCGATTTCTGAAAAAGACAAGGACGAGAAATGGATGAGTCTACATAGCGACACCCCGCCTCCCGCTCCAGGAAGGGGCCTGGGTGATCGGGTGGCCCCACAGGACACCCCACTGCTGCACTCACGGAAGCTTGTGCCCGCCCAGAAATGGGTGTCAGGTGAGCAGTGTCCAGGGGGATTCCTGACGTGGAGTCTATTGAGATTATTCACAGTAGGAACAACTAAGTATTCTGATAACTGCCAAACCGCAGATTACAGAACACAAAGGCTGACTTTCAGGCAGGGACAAACGCTTTATTTATACCCCAAGCAACCGGGGGGGCTGCATGCAAGGAGGAAATCGTTCACAGTCCTTTTCTTCAAAGATTTTTCTTCTTTTACGTTTCACAGCCATCTATAAGAGTGTTTACTTATCACTCCTTTATTCTTTCACTCTTTGGATAATGAAAGAACTAAAACTGGGTTAAAACCTGTTGCTGTCAGGATGCAGACGCATAGTGACCCTACAGGGACAGAGTGGCACTGCCCCACAGGGTTTCCTAGACTGTCATCTTTAGAAAACCAAACCCAACCCAACCCACTGCCATCGAGTCAGATCCGACTCATGGTGACCCCTTCTTGGGTTTTCCAGGCAGTATCACTAAGGAAGTAGACTGCCCAACCTTCCTTCAGAGGAGTGGCTGGTGGGTTTGAACTGCCAACCTTTGGGTTAGCAGTCAAATGCCTTAGGCACTACGCCACCAGAGCCCAAACCAAACCCACTTCTGTGGAGTCAATTCCGACTCACAGCGCCCCTAGAGGACAGAGTGGAACTGCACCACAGGGTCTCCAAGGCTGTCAGTCTTCACAGAAGCAAAGCCCAAACCACACCCACTGCCG